ATAGTAGTAGTAGTAGTAGTAGTAGTAGTAGTAGTAGTAGTAGTAGTAGTAGTAGTAGTAGTAGTAGTAGTAGTAGTAGTAGGAGAAGGAGGAGGAACAGGAGGAGGAGGAGGAGGAGGAGTAGGAGGAGGAGGAGTTCCTTTTAGCCAACCACAAAGTATGTCATTATGTTTGTCTGTGTCATCGTCCTACTACACAATCTAAGAGCATAATAATATCTTTGATAATAATATTATGAGGTGAGATTGGCCTGGTGATAAAAACAATTAGCAAAAAACGACTGCAGTTTTGAAACACCTAAATAGACATAAAAGCCTTGAACATCTGGCTTTCAATGGCAAAATTGAAGGCAAACGAAGCAGGGGTAGGCCCAAAGTAACCTACTTAAAGAACCTAAACAGAAGGATGACACGGAAAGGTCCGGATAATGTAGCTTTTTAAAGAGAATCCGAATGAAGGGATGAATGGAGAACCATGATCGCCGATGTCTGTTGAAGATCTGGCACTTGATGATGATGAAGATTGACCTGCTTCAAGGAACCACGCGACTGGGCCCTGTTTAAAATATAGGACCCTGAAGCGTGATCGTTTGTTTAATACTTTAAACATCATTAACCGTCGTCGTAAGCTGATGACCCGGGTTCAAATCTCATGTGGGCAGAAGTCTTGGCGAGTGTTTTGGTCTTTCTGTTGAGACGTTGTATCCCTCTAGCCATTGTTGGCCCTGACAAGCAGTGTTGAAGCCCCTCTTCTTAATGTTTCAATTGGGCCGTAAAAACACTTACTTTAAAAACTAATGAAGTTTGGAAATGTTGTAAGAACTTTCCGCAGAAAAATCTGACAAGCAGATGACAACGTTTGCCATGGACGGCAGGGGGGTGGCGGGGGGTCGGGGGTTGAGTACAAATAGCTTATGCGGTAGCCAGATCCAAAGAGTCTTCTTTTCTGAGATATCTAACTCTGAACAGACAATGTCTTTGCTTTCAGTTTCCTTTTTAAAAGGAGAGCATTATATTCAATCTCTTCAGCCCAAAAATTTCCTAAACTAGCCCTTTTAAGAAACTCACCGCTGTACCTTGGCCCCTGAATCTACGCCAAAAAGTTATTCTAAATGTCAGACACGAGCAAAATACGCGAACCACGTAGAGGCCGAGGGCCTTTCACCCCGGCAGACTTCCGGCGCTGAAAAGTCACGTGACAAAACAAAAGCAGGCGACACAGAGAGCACGTAGGAGAAATCTTCTCTTATCACAAAGGCTGATTTTTATTCTAACCCCTGACAGCGCCTCAGCGGAGAGGGCAACATTTCTGCGTCAGACTTATTTAGAAAAAGGGGAAGAACGAAGGATGGGAGTATACGACATATTGGGGCTCAACATGTCTACGTCAGACGTATCTAAAGAAAAAGAAGGACGCAGGAAGGAAGAATAAGATATAAGGAGGGGTGATCAAGATTTCTACGTCAGACTTATCTAGAGAAAAGGAAGGACGCATGATGGAAGAATAAGATTTACAGAGTGGGGCTTTCCATTATTTTTTTCATTTTTGTTTTGTTTTGTTTTTTTATTCTTATTTTTATTTTTTTTAGCTTTTTTTACAAATTGATCCAACTTGATATTTTTGTTATGCAATGTTTTTCTTTGTCTGAAGCGTTGGCGATCTACCCCAGACTTTCTCAAACAAATTGCTGGGATGAAACACGTTCTGAGGTCTCTAGAGGTAAAAATTAATGTTTACTTTCGTCCTTATAATAAATGCTTTTCTTCTTCTTCTTCTTTTTCTTCTTTTTCTTCTTCTTCTTCTTCTTCTTCTTCTTCTTCTTCTTCTTCTTCTTCTTCTT